AACCCTTACTTGGATCTTCCAAGTAGTCTTGTTTGGTTTCACTTCATGAAGAAATACAAAAGATGCCGACATCGTTAAGTTTGCTTGTAGAGTATAAAGATGTGTTTTTTTTGGTGGTGTATTGAATCACGATTAGGCTTGTATTTATAGCTAGGTTGGAAGATGATAGGGTAGGTTTTCATGTATACGGATTGGCTTGCGAGAGACTTTGGGTCTATATGATTTTGATGCAATATTAGGAAAATAATATGTCTATGAATCAATAATTAGCGACAATTATGTATCTTTGAATGTTTATACTGCTTTGATTGATTGGAATTTAAGATTACGTCTATTGAGGGAATGATTTCCGATTTGATAAATTGATTCATTATGGTGGCTGATTTTCGACGTATTAATTGCAGGAAATAACGACACATAACGTGTGGGCACAAAGACTTAAAAATTGCGTGGTCGATTTTTAAAAGTTAGTCTTTAATGTATAGTAAGCCCAATATAAACGAAAGCCCATCCATCTAATTGACTCCTCCAAATTGGCAAGGATCCAATTATGTATTTACCGGGTTATAAGGGACGCGCGGACCCTTCATGGGTATGAAATTTATTATAATTATTTTACGATTTTAACCCTGTCGATTTAGAAAAAGGCTCTCTTTCATAACAAATTGAAGGGCAAATTTCGGAATTTTTTGACAAAGTTTTCTGATTTTCAATTTTGTACTCCTTTTTTAATATTAAGAAGATAATTCAGTAATGTGAGGAAAACTAATTATGTCCGTTATTCAAAACCTTCCGATTCGACTAGAGTCATAGATAAGACCATATTGTTAAGAGACCATCATTATCATCGTCAAAGTCTTTTTATTTATTTTTAGTCATAGTCTCCTAGATAAGTCAAACATTGAAAAATTTCGAGCAAAGTAACTGGGCCTGTTGATATCACAAATTGGGCCGGATATATACTTAACGGTCCACAGAAGGATGTGGAACGGGTAATTTAGTAAAATTAGGGCAAGTCAACCACCAAAACCAGACTTTTGAAGTTAATCTCTCTCGATCATAAAAAAAGAAGAAGAAAAAGTTACCTTTTTTCACTTTGCCGAGGAAATCAGAGAGAGAAGAGGAAGAAGAAGAAAAGCGAAAAACATGAAGGCGACGACGAAGACTCCGATCCACGCGGTGTGGTCATGGGTCAGGAGGCAACCTCCGAAGGTGAAGGCTTTTCTCTCCGTGGTCACTGGCATGGCGGCTTTAGTTCTTCTCAGATTCATTGTTCACGATCACGACAATCTCTTTGTTGCCGCTGAGGCTGTTCATTCCATCGGGATCTGTGTCCTCATCTACAAACTCATGAAGGAGAAGACCTGCGCCGGTACTATTCTTTTCTTTTCTTCACATCCAATTCAATTTTAGGGTTTTTCAACTCAGTACTACCCCCTCTGCTTCTGTATTCGTCTCCGCTCCTAGCAATATTACTTGTCTACGCCACAACTCTCTTGTTTATTTCTCATATGATCAGTAATTCATTGGGTTCACACTAATAGCAATTTACGATTTTAAGATGCCTTTTTCTTTTTAATGCGAAACCACCTCAAAAAACATGTTGCAGGATTGTCACTGAAGTCTCAGGAGCTTACGGCATTATTTCTAGCTGTTAGGTTGTATTGCAGCTTCGTCATGGAATATGATATACATACCATTCTGGACTTGGCTACTTTGGGAACAACCCTCTGGGTTATATTTATGATCCGTTTTAAGCTAAGAGCTAGTTACATGGAGGACAAAGATAACTTTGCTCTCTATTATGTGGTAAGCCTATCTGCTTGTGTTGTTAAAAGAGTTTTTTTTTTTGCTTTGCAGTAACGATGACGTGGTTTTAATATTTGCAGCTTGTGCCCTGTGTTGTGTTAGCTGTGTTGATCCATCCATCGACCTCCCATAACATATTAAACAGGATTTCGTGGGCATTATGCGTATACCTTGAAGCTGTTTCAGTTCTGCCTCAGCTTCGAGTGATGCAGAACACAAAGGTCACTACTTTTTTTCACAATGATAAGTGGAGAACTAAACAGGACACATTTGTTTTACTCTCTTAGCATCTATTTGGTTGTTTCAGATTGTTGAACCGTTCACGGCTCATTATGTTTTTGCACTTGGAGTTGCAAGGTTCCTTAGCTGTGCTCACTGGGTTTTACAGGTTAGTTTTGATCCAATATCAGTTCATATACATCAATACATTGTATGTCAAATTCAAATGCTGAAAGTGGTCTAGTACAATGTCTAATGTGTCAAAATCAGGTTGTAGACACACGAGGACGATTGCTTGTAGCATTGGGCTATGGATTGTGGCCATCAATGGTTCTGATCTCAGAAATTGTTCAAACATTCATCTTGGCAGATTTCTGTTACTACTACGTCAAAAGGTACACGATTAGACCTTCAGTTCAACGTTTTTAGCTCTTTATACAACTCTAAAATTTCAATCTATTTCTTCTGCAGCGTTTTCGGAGGACAGCTTGTTCTGCGGCTTCCATCTGGAGTAGTATAAGTCAAAAAGATAGATTTACTCCAATGATGTCCGATGAGCTTGCCAGGAATTATAATCAGAAAAGAGAGCTCAGTTTTTTTTTCTTCACCTCTGATTTCACCGTTTTGTGTCTTGAGGTTGAACAAGTGACTCTCACTCGGTAACAAATTAATTTTACTGTGTTGTATATTCTTGACTATGAATGAAGGGATTTTATGTCTGTCCGGTCGAGAAGTTCTTTAGTCAAACTGACATTTTCTTAACTCGGGCCTTTCGAAAACAAACTACTGTAATATTTTGATAACAACTAAAAGCCAGGACGTCTTAAAATTTGAAGTGTATTATCGAGTAATATAATCACCAGGAATCAGTAAAACTGCAACATAGGACGCATAATGCATTTCAAACAAAAAATGACGGTTGACAAAAGGAAAAAACAAAAAGTTAAAGGTCTGAAAGGTTTTTCCCGTTGATGAAGTTAATCACTCTAGTGGCAGTTTCTTCTAGTGCAGCGGTCACAACTGACAAGTTCAGCAAGAACTCTTCTGCCGTAGGTTTATCTCCGTCCACTAGATCAGTAACAGCTTTGAGGAATATGACTGGTACTTTGAGAAGATCAGCTACGTATGCTACAGCAGCACCCTGAAGAATCCAGAGAGCCAGATGAGTTTCAACATAACAAAGTAAATTGATTTTCTTGCTATATTCAGTAATTCAGAGTTGTTAACATGACACTACCTCCATGTCTTTTAGCGTAGCATCATTGGCAATGATCAGTGATTCATCTTGCGTGGACATATCCAACGAGTCACCAGTAGATAACCTGCCAATCTGAAACACCCCATTATCTGTGAAAAACTGAAATAGTTAACCGAGCCAAGCTGCATCTTGAGTCTACTAAATACCTTCATACTGAGTTCCTTGAGGAGATTGGGTGTGGAGAATGCCTGACGAAGGCCAACTCCATACAGATCAAACATCTGAAGAGATACAAAAACATTGCTCAGAAACTGGCAAGATGAAGCGGGGAAAAAGGAATCACTAAAGATGGGAAAGAAAAAAAAAAAGACCGGGATAGGTATTCTTCTATCATGGAAGACAACATCAGAAACCAGGAATACATCACCAATGTTGGCTCCTTTAACCTGCAATGCTCAGCCAGTCAGCACTTTAGTTACATGCAAACGAACCAATTTCCATTAAATGAAAATAGAGATATCGAGATGTTCATGATAGCAACTCAAATTTAAACAGAATATTTCACAGATTGAAGCCAGTAAATGAGTAACTAAATCAAAATCAAAATATGATAAAGTATGGTATTCAGAAAGAAGGATGCTGGAAGAGAAGATAGAGTACATATTGAGAAGGAAACAAAGTACCTTGAAGCCACCGCAGGTTCCGGCATTGACAATGATGTCAGGTTGTAATGCTTGGATAGAAGCAAAAGTAATGAGAGAAGCAGGAACAGTTCCGACACTATCAATCCCTGGAGAGAAATATCAGTTAGTTAAAGAAGAAAGCTGTAGCATAAGCAAACACAAATATCAAGCTCGTTCGTTCAATCAAAGGCGTAACAAAGAAGAAGCTGAAAAGCTAGGTAGCAACGCACAGACTTGAAAGCAACCATGAAAGAGAAAAACCTCCAGAGATTTAGAGTAAGCAAATAGAAAGAAAGATGAGAGGTAAGAAAAGCAAAAGTGACCTAAGGCTGCATCTCTTCCGGGGCAAACTACATTGATTCGAAGATCATTATGCACGCCGTGATACAGAACCCAGGGCAACCCTTTACCAAGCCTGCGATATCAATTATCATCATCCAAAATGTTTAAGTGAGAGATCAAATGCAAACAAAAAGCAGAATCAGTAATCGTAAAAGAAGAGCTCTTAACGGAGAATCAGTAGCTTCAGAGAGTCCGAACTTGTTGACCAAAGGTAGAGCCTCCGCTTGCATAGCTGCAGCTCCATCGGAAGAAATTTTAAAAAAAAAAGGGTAAGAAGAAGAAGAAGAAGAAATCTCGATTGATTCGGAAGGGCCAGAAACGAGAGATGTGGAAAGAGTAAAGTACCGATGACGAAGACGACCGTGGAAATGGGTCGAGTAGAATCCGATTGAGCAGGCAGAGGTATGCCCATGTCACTTGATCCATCTCCATGAGGAGGAGCCATACCTTCCCCTCTCTTTCCGATTTTGATTTCCCCAGGAAAAATCTGAGAATCGGGAAGAAACGGCAGGAAACTCCGGTGAATGATTTACTTTTATGGGATTCCCTTCTTTTCTTTTCTTTGGACCCCTTTTGTTTTTTTTTTTTGTTCTCTTTCTTTTGCGTTTCCAACTTCTTCTTTGTATAAACTTATATAATTATAATAAAAGAATCAATTATTTTGTGCTAATGACCATAATTAATTAAATTGGAAGGATGATCGATCATACACGACTACAACTTCTGCTAAACAACTAGTAGAATCTGTTGTTGTAATCCAAATTCTTCACCAGATATCATTAACATAGATTATTTTATACGAAATAAATAAAACGCAGAGTAAAAAACATTATGCATTCCATAAGATAATTAAAAAGAAAAAGAAAAGGCATGAGCATATAGATCACCACACCCACCACAAGAGGAAACCCCAAACTTTCAATCTGTTCACAAGAAAGCCCCCATTTAGAGAGCGAATGGGGTGGCTTTTCTTATATATCCGATAGCAAATAAGGTTTTCCTCGTTTATCTAAAACTTGGAGGGGGTAAAGTAAAGTAAACACTCTTAAACCATCATTTTCTTTCCCGTGTAAACACTCCACTATGATTAATTTGAAGGCTCCTCCTCTGTTTGTGCCGGCAGTAAGGTAGCCGAGGTGAGCGGCTCGTGAACCACCGAGTTTGATGAAACCGATATCGGATTACCCTCTAGCTGCAACATTATACTTCCCAATATCTCCGCCATTGTTTTCTTAAACTCTTCTTCCTTCACCATCTTTCCATCATCCCCATTCACCATCTTCAACGCTTCCATTATCATATTGTCCATCTTACAATTCAAACAATCTTTTACTTATCAACATCCTTGAAACAAAAATGTACTCCACTAAAAACAAATATTACAGAATTGAATAACATATATATATATATATATATTAAGACGACATTGTTTACCTGGGACACAGCGCCTATTGGTGGTAATGTAGCCGATGGTGCAACTGTATCCAGCACAGCTCGCAGATACTCTTTAGACACCTTACCGTGACGGTCTTTTGGAATTGTCTCCATAGCAACGTTTAGTGCCTGCCACCAAAAACGTTCCTTATATATCGTGACTTATCATTTAATTTTCAAAGTGTTGCCTTCTCGTCGCATCTAAGCTACAAGTAACATACATGACTATATGCATGAAAGATATTACCTTATCGAACTCGAATTTATTGGACAAGAGCCTCCTGACGCCGCTCCCATCGAAAGTGTTTTCGCTGTGAGCCACAATCACGGGCTGTTCATTGAGACGTTGAGCCACTTTCTCCACGACTCTCTTAAATGCTTCCAAGAATCTCTCCTGAGACGCAGTCTTCTCCCTCTTATCTTCTTCATCAAGACAAGAGTCGACTATTGGTTCTACTATGTTGCTCAGTACCTAAAACAACAACTTTGAGTTTTAGACTCACTGATCCCTACAGCAACATATACCATAAAAAAAACTTGGACACAAATATAGTTCAATAGTTTATTGGCTTTTTTTACATATGACAATTGTGTATTTTAATAAGACTTTCTACGTATAACTGAAATATTTATATATTGCTTTCTACACAAATGAAAAACTGATCTGACCGAGTTACCTATGCAAAACAAGTTAGACTTATATGCTTTATAATTATATATCTATACTACTAATTACGATTGTAAAGTATGTACTTTACGCCAAGAAAATCCAAATCAGAATTTTTTTTTATATATATAACAGAAAAATAATTGCTAAACACTAGCTTCATCTAAGAAACAAGATATATAGAAAAGTAGATTTCAAAAGAAGAAAAAAAAAAAAAGAAGATAAAGTGAAGTTATAAATTACCCAAGGATCGTTGGGAGGCATTCCATGATCAACAGAAAGAGACTGGAGAGCTTTGACAATACAGTCACGGAGCGATGCGTCATCGCAAGTAGAGAGCTCTGAGTAGATAGAGACTATCTCGGTTTCGTATCCAGGACCGTGAACAAACTCAGAGAGATCCTCACCGTCCATCCTGAGGATGACGATAGGATCACGTTTCAGACCAGCAGCCATACCCAACAAAATGTCCGACAACACTTCTTTGAACTCGGTTTTGCTCACTTTCTCTTGACTTCCATGAGTGAATTCGTTTAAGACCTGTAATATCGTGGTGTTTATTATTATAACGTTACAAACGATGAAAAAAATAAATGTACGGAGTAGACAGATAGAAGGTTGTTGGTTTTATCTCGTTGTCATCTTCTTTAAATACACACCAAAAATAAAAACAAAACCTTGCTAACGATAAGTAATTAATGGATACTGATTTGTAACCAATGAGAGTAAGATTCGTATCCGAATATATTCACTTCCTGTTCTTGGATAGTTTTTCAACGAGAGTATCTCTTAATTAATTAATTACTAGGATTGATATCATCTTGGTTTGATCAATTAATCCACGTGAATCATGCGAAACAACACGACGTGATTTTGGGGTTTCCACGTAGACTAGGTAAAAACAATTACTACTACTTGTTTTGTGGTTCACATTAATATAGTTTTGGGATATCTTTTTATTTGATTGTTTGAAAAAATAAGGGATGGTGGTTGATCTCGTCATATTACAGTCCTATAGGGTTTTCAAAAGAAAAATGTAATGTGCGATATGATGTCGGAAAAAAGGTTCAAGAAAGTCTAGAGCAAAGATGGCGACGCCGGCCAAACGCTTTATAAAGGATAAAGCTTTGTTATACATTGAAGGCTAAAACATTAGATTAAATAATGTTCACACAGTAACAAAATTAAGTAGGTGAGGATTCATAAAGTGATGTTTCGAGCGAGTTTGAAACGACAGCGGGAAGAGCGACACGAGGGGCTAATTTTTGAGATATGGTAAGAGCCAAGAGGATAAGGTCACCGACCAAAGCTATTGTCTGTTTTTTTTTAAACAAATGGTTTATTATTTTGATCTATTTTACTCTTAATTAACGCAAAAGCATAACAATGAAGAAGAAAGTATATATATCATCCACCACGTAAGTATCAAGAAGATAACATAAACAACTATAGTAAAATGTTGAGATTCTCTTTTCTTTTATTTTTTATAACTTTGTCAGTATTTATAATTATAGTCATTCCATGTTTTATTATTTTCTTATGACTACTATGGCCTTTTGAAGTTCATACAAAATCTATGCACAAAGTGCCGAGAGGTTCAACTCCATCTCATAATCAAAGAAAATTTAACGGCATAGACTCCAACATGAATAAATTTTGTATAAAAATATTTGTTTACAACTACAACTAAAAAGCATCATCTATATATTTTATAACTTATAACCTTTTTTTTTTAACCTTGTCAGTAAAGATCAGTAATATAGCTAGAGGGATACTGATTAGAGGAAAATGCTAACATAAATGCAAATTAGCCGGACCATATATATCACGAATATAGAAAAGGTAGTGTTGAGAAAGAAGAAAAGAAGATTACCTCGGAGTAGATGTGATCGGAATCAGGGGAAGTGCCCTGAGCAGGCAAACCAAGAGCAGCGCCGATATCAGCAACGGCGGGTTGTAACTCAGTCACGGAGAGCTTACCATCTTCGTCCTGGTCTAACTGTTGAAACTTTTGTTCCACAAACTTGTCGAACACTCTCTCGTTTTCCACCAGCTCAACTATGTCCGAGCCATCAAGTACTTGTTGCTGTTGCTGGTGGTTGTTGCTTTTCATGTCCATTTATGGAATCTACACTTCTTCTTTCTTTCTCTTTACTTTCTTTTTAGTCCCGAGAGTCTTGTGACAGATCTCGTGATAGAAGCACGAGAAAAGGAAGAACAGATACTTGACACACCCAAAAAAAAAGAGTTTTCTCTTCTTCTCTTTTTCTTTAACTCCCAAGTGTGTGTGTGTAATGTTGTGGTTTGGTTCGGACTGCCTGTATTCTTTATATGTGATATAGCGATCAGAAAAAGAAAAAAAAAATGAGTTGTATAATCGCAAAATCTTGAAACTAAATTTATTTGCCGTATTTAATTATCAATTTAATTATATAATTTCAATTCATTTGAAAAACTTGTGGACTCGGCACCACCAAACGTATATTAACCATATGTCCATAGCTAGACTATTTCTTTTGAAAGTATATTGTCTTTCTTTTTTTTATTTCCCCACCTAACATTACTAAATTTAATCATCTCATAAAGCGTAGGCTAATATAATAATAATCCCTTCAATGAACTTCCTTTCGCATTTGTCCATATTTTTGTAACACGACCGCATCTTTTCCTTTGATTATACAGAGAGACAATGGCGAAGTAAGTAAATCACAACTTCTTCTTAATGAAATATATATTTTAATTTTAACTATATAACTATATTGTGTTGGTATTGAGATGTAACAAACATTTGGCGCTTATCTTTCAAACTCGACATTTAAACCAGATTACCTGAATAGTATATTCAAACATTTATCCATCCTCTGCCCTAAATGAAACTATTATATCTAGCTCACTATTTGAATGAGAACTCACTTACGTAACCATTAGGTTTGATATTTGGCTTCAGTAACCGACAAGAACATCATAAAAGACACGATGTTTAGTCATAATGCCTGTGTCTTTTTTATCAAATGGTCGGTTCCTTTTTAATATCTTTTTCAGACTAATCTTTGGGATGTATGAATTTATTTTTCGACTACTTGTAATTAGTGACATAAAGAACACTTCCAAAAATCATTAAATTACACGATCGTGACGGATTATAAATAGAGAGACCGACGAACTAAGCAAACCCTCAGAAAGCAGAAGTTAAACATCGAACAATTTCGACCACTTAATCTAAGTATGTGTGGTCCGTACCGTATGACACGGGCAATATCACTTGTGTGAATGAATACACGCCGGCCTATTATTATTATTATTATTCGGATTTTAGAAAAAATGGATATATATATTAGTAACCGAGTCGTGATATATAATTATAGTTTGTCCATAAAATACAAGTAATAAGCCATGGATCTAAATATATTCTGACAAGAGCTTCTCACCTCCTTGATCAGTGATGACGTGGTCGTCGTCGGTGAAAAGTCGTGGGGACACTTGGTGATAAAATAAGGCTGGTGTGTTAGTCCGTCATTGGTCGGCGCCTCTGTGCTGGCGTGAGCTTAATCCAAAGTCAAAGCCGGCCTGCTATAGTGCGGCTATCTATGGATTATGGCGGTTCATTTCTTATAAATTAGTACAAAACTTGATACTACTTGCGTTTCGAACATAACTTTTGTTTCAGAATTTAAGCTTTTGCCAACGCATAAAATATTTAACTTGTTATTTAATCCAGGTATTTTTTAAAAAAATATATCAGCGTAGATAGAAAAGTTAAGCATTGACAAAAAAAAAAGAAAAAATATAATATGTCTTTTATATAACAGAAACAAAAAAAAAAATCGAGTTATTTACATGGGCGTTCTTTTGTAGATGTAGATATATACCTAAAAGTTAGAAGCGACGAGGAGTTGTTGGCAATTCACTCTCCAGCCTCCTCCTCAATGTAGGATAGATTCAATGATAATCTTAACAAGAAAACAAAAATGCAAAAGGACGAAATCCCTATAACATCTTTCTTTTCTGGTACAAACTACAACAAAAAGTGACTATGCCAATATATCCTTTACTAAAGAAAGACGAAAAGAGATCTCGAGAGATCCTAACTCTACATTTAAAAATTTATTAAACGTTCAAATTAAAAAAAATATATGGGGTATTTTTTGGGATTTTTCTCGTTAATCTATACCTTTAGGTGAAATATTTAAGTTTTTGCTGTCTATCCAACTTTTCTTGTATGATTGATTTAAACTACTTCGAGGATGATTATGAAGAAGAAGGCAAAACAAACGTTATTTCGTTTTCTTATCATTTCGATCCTGGTAAACACATTGGGCTCATGCCATATTATATTGAATGATTTAGCCTTTTTTTTTTCGGTTCAAATTGAATTATTGGGCTTTATCCAGATAAATTTTGATTTATGACCAATAACTTAAGAAGAAACGGTATTGGCTTATTCAGGATGGCTGTCGATCTGATATTGGATATTAAGGCCCAAGAATCCAATATGGTGCAACCCGTGAAATTGGAGAGCAGTGATCGCCATGCTGTTTTGCTGAAAACGAGAGATACATCGTGTTGTTTTAATTGGTTGCAACCGCGAACGAACGGGTTAGTTAAATGATAAATCCCATAAAATAAAAAAGAGAAAGGCCACACAGTTTACCTTTGGTGCAACATTGTAGAGTTGAAAATTAAACGACACGTTGTTTGGATCGTGAAAACGGCGGGACCTGTTTTTTTCCTTCTTTTTTTTTTGTCTTCTCAACAACTTGGAGGACAATGCCCTCGCGGCTTTATACGAATTACGAAGGGTTGTTAAGCAGATGGATTATGTTAGCCACTTGGCTACTTGACTTGACTTAATCAGTGACATCGACCTTTCAGGTGCTGTGTAGGTACGTAACATGAGGTCCCACGTACATTATCTATATATCATTCTAAAGAGATGTATCTGCTCGCGCCATCGACAATCTCATGTCAAGTTCGCTCGAAGTTGTTGTTAGTCTTCTAGTGACATGATTGAGTTTTTTTCTTTTCAAATAAGATATCTATAGTAATTCAACGATCTCATCAGCTTAACACCTCCAAGACAGAGTCATGTGAGTTCTTTCTTCTACATGTCCCACTCTTGTATAAGAAGCCCACGGTTTCTATCAAACCAAATGGAATTGGTTGGTATATATATTTCATTGTTTTGATCATCATCATATCCTATCCAAAGCAAAACAACTTCTTCAGCCATAACCAAATAAGCTAAACGAGAACTCCAAGCTGAATTAATATTTTTTTTCCAAGATCCATCAGCAGAAGAAATGGGCGTGTTCCGAGGACTTATGGGTGCAAAGAAGATCTTTCACGGCCGATCAATGGGAGCTTCAACACCAAAAGGGTTTCTTGCAGTGTATGTTGGGGAAAGCCAGATGCAAAGATACATAGTGCCAGTCTCGTACTTGAGCCAGCCTTCATTTCAAGCTTTGTTGAGTAAATCGGAACAAGAGTTTGGGTTTGACCATCCAATGGGCGGCTTGACCATCCCTTGTCCCCAAGAAACTTTTATCACTGTCACTTCTCAGCTTCATTAGTTCCAGTTCACAAAGATCACATACATATATGTAACAATTTTATTTTAGGTCATTGTTAGATAGATGCCCAAGATATTTTAGAACCCTGTGTAATTACTGACGGAGAAGATTTATAAATTACAATTTTTGCACATCTTTCTCCTTCCAAGGCTTCAACGTTGCAATTTACTCCTTTGATTTTGATTTTGGGGGATCTTTCACAACATGCTGATTAACGACTAGTTGTTAATCCGCTCCATGACATCGACACGAGCATATAAAAACGATAAACAAACTCATAATTCTACGAAATATTTCATAACAGCCTAGCTTACTAATAAACAAGACCAAAAAGAAAGAAAGATATAACAGAGTCCAATTATCAAAAATGAAAAGAAAAAAAAAAACAGAGTCAAAGGTCAACGCCTCATTTGCGTGTTATCTCCGATTCAAACAATCCAGAAAAAAAAAAAATGATAAACAGAAATAATCCAAAATGTTGTCTCTTCTTCTTCCTCTGATCTCACTCTTAATCCAAATCCAATGTCTCACCGTTGTTAAGTCGCAACCGGTTCCGTTAAACCAAATATGCTCAAACGTCACAGGCAATTTCACCGTTAACACCCCTTACGCCGTCAACCTCGACCGTCTCATCTCCTCTTTATCATCTCTCCGACGTAACGATAACGGATTTTACAACATCTCAGTCGGAGACTCCGACGAAAAAGTCAACTCAATCTCACTGTGTAGAGGCGATGTCAAAGCTGATGATTGCATCAACTGCATCGCATTGGCTGGAAAAAAACTTGTCACATTGTGTCCGGTTCAGAAGGAGGCGATTATCTGGTATGACAAATGTACGGTTAGGTACTCAAACCGGACTATCTTCAAAAGACTGGAGATTTTCCCTCAAGCAAGCATAACCGGGACAAGAAACTTCACCGGAGATCGTGGTGGTTGGGAGAAATCATTAAGGGGTTTACTCGAAGGGCTTAAAGACAGAGCCTCTGTGATTGGTCGGAGCAAGAAGAACTTTGTTGTTGGCGAAACGAGCGGGCCGTCATTTCAGACATTGTACGGTTTTGTTCAGTGCACGCCAGATATTTCGGAAGAGGATTGTTCCTACTGTTTGTCTCAGGGTATTGCAAAGATCCCGAGCTGTTGTGATATGAAAATGGGTAGCTATGTCTTGTCTCCTAGCTGCATATTAGCTTATGCTCCGTGGAGATTCTATGATCCAGTGGACATTGATGAGCCAAGCTCAGCACCTGCGACGCCATCACAGCCTCCGAAGAATGAGACGAGAAGTGTCACACAAGGTAGGTTTGCTACTTTTTTAATGGATTTGAAAGTTTTTGAACTCTAGGATTTAATTAAGACTTGCGAGTATGTTTTGGATTCCTATTGTGGAGATTTGAGTTTGTTACATAATAAAACGGGATTAATCATTAAGGGTATGTATATTTTTGAACAGGGGATAAAAACAGAGGGGTACCTAAAGCTGTCATCTTTGCTGCTGCGTCAGTTGCTGTTGTTGTATTTGTCATAGCATTATTAGTCGTTTACCTAAGGCGGAGAAGAAAGAAAACGAAGATTAAGATAAACAATTCAGAACACCAACATGAAAGTAAGCTAAATCTCAATCTCCTCTGTTTTTGCTCTGTTTTTGCTCTGTTTTGCCTTTGTTTCTGACGTGATTTCTAACTCCTTTTATCAATACATATATGGTTTATCAATTTTTTTTTTTTTTTTCTAAAATACAGATGGAAATATTAGCATGCATTCCATGAAATATAATTTCAGTATATTACAAGATGCAACGAGTCATTTTTCACTGGAAAATAAACTTGGAGAAGGTGGATTCGGATCAGTTTATAAGGTAATCTTACAAACTATAGAATAACCTGCTGTCATGTTTTGTATTCTGTAGTGATCATCATAACATCGTCCTACATTATCATCATTAGGGTGTACTTTCAGATGGACAAAAAATAGCGGTGAAGAGGTTGTCCAAAAATGCACAACAAGGTGAAACCGAATTCAAGAACGAGTTTTTGCTGGTGGCTAAGCTTCAACATCGTAATCTCGTGAAGCTCTTAGGTTACTCTATTGAAGGAACTGAAAGGCTTCTCGTGTATGAGTTCCTACCACACACTAGCCTCGACAAATTCATCTTCGGTACACATTCTACGTATTCTTGAAAACCATCAAATTCTTCTATAGTTTTTGTGTATGATCTCAAGTGTTTGAGTGTTTCTATAGATCCGATCCAGGGTAAAGAATTGGATTGGGAAATTAGATACAAAATCATTGGAGGTGTAGCTCGAGGACTTCTCTATCTTCATCAAGATTCTCGTCTCCGGATTATTCACCGTGATCTTAAAGCTAGTAACATATTACTAGACGAGGAAATGACCCCGAAAATCGCAGATTTCGGAATGGCTAAGCTTTTCGATATCGACCACACAACTCAGCGCTACACGAATAGGATCGTGGGGACTTTGTAAGTAGTAAAAACGTAACATTTATATTGTACTCATCAAACTCGATTATGATCAGTCATTTGGTTTAAACAGTGGATACATGGCTCCGGAGTATGTGATGCATGGACAGTTCTCTCTTAAGACAGATGTTTACAGTTTCGGAGTTTTGGTTCTTGAGATCATCAGTGGTAAGAAAAACAGTTGTTTCAGCATTGAGGAAAGCATGGAGGATCTCATTAGCTTTGTGAGTATATTACTTGCAAAAATCTTGAGCTTTGATCAATGACTGTTAATTCACATCACGAAGTTCCAATGTTTTTGGTTATAAGGCCTGGAGAAATTGGAAGGAAGGTGTTGCATTGAATCTTGTGGACAAGATGTTGATGACAATGTCGAGCTATTCAGCGAATATGATATTGAGATGCATAAACATTGGTCTTCTTTGTGTCCAACAGAAAGTTGCAGAGAGGCCAAGCATGGCTTCTGTTCTTCTGATGTTAGATGGACATACCCTTGCTATTTCAGAACCTTCAAAGCCTGCGTTTTTCGCACACAGCAATGCGGTATCGGATAGCTCTTCTTCTTTAGGACATAATGCAAAAACCTCAAATTATAATTCCAATACTGAGTTGTATCCTCGGTGAGTTTGTCTTGAAACTGAAATAAAGATACTCATTGATGATGACTAATTGATGAATCATGGGATTGATAATTAGATTTGAGTCCAGCTCACTGTAAGTGAGGAAAAAGAGTGTTACAAGTCTCTGTTTCACTTTCAAGGACAGATGTTTCTAAGTCATCTCGTCTCTTGAAGAAAACTAATTGGGGGAAAAAATGTACAAAATCAAAGAATAAAAAGGTTATTTGAGTGAGTCATGATCAGTTGAATCGAGAAGCAAGATCAATGAATATTTCTTCACTGCAAGGGATTGTGAGGCCACCCATTGGATGATCAAATCCAAACTCCTCCTCTGCCTTTCTTAGTAGATCTTGAAATGAAGGCTGGTTCAAGTAAGAAATAGGAACTACAAATCTCTTCATCTTTCTTTCTCCTACGTAAACGGCTAAGTAGCCTTTTGGAACATCAAGAGAGCTAGATGAAGAGGATGAGAACAGTTTTGCTTGTCGGAGAATTTGCTTGGATGATTGCAGCACACGAGGGACCCTGATCGCCATGGATTGTCTTGTGTGTTTGTTGGAAACTGTAGGTTTAATTCTTTACTGGAAAAAATGTGAGAACTTGCAGAGCTTGAAGGACTCAGTGATGACTGATGAGTATATATAGATAAGAACATTACTTGAAGATAACTCTTTATTGGTTTAGAAAAGTTTCAACTCATAATAAACACCAACAAGCACATGGCTTTGCCGGACCACGGCATGATAAGTAAGGGACCCCTACTGATCAATCTTCATGATTTCTGATGTGAAGACACAAATCAGTATGACCACTTGTTTGTTAGATAGGCACTATAACTAGTCAAGTTTTCAATTCTTGCCACAGAAATTTTGAAGGCTTTTTGTGACTTTGTCTGCATATAATCAAGTCATGGGGTCCTGTCTTTTTGTTATCATTATGACTTAATCAGTGATAGAGACTTATGGTTCATTAGGTACACAACTCCAGGTCCCTACATAATCTATAGAGAGATTTGGCATGTGATGTCTTGGAGACCAATAAGCCCCAATGAAATTATCATGTAGGACATCATTAGATACTAACTTCTCAGACACCATTTATTGATTTGTTCTTGGTTTAGTATCTTCAATCCAAAGCCATGTGCCTCTGTAATGGAAAGAAAAAAAAACCCCCCAAAAAAAAATACTTAATTTCTGATAATTTCGTTTATATAACAACTAACAGGAAACCCTTTTTGATTCACAAACTATTATTAAAGATCCAAAACAAAATTTAAAAGCTTAAAGCTTTCTCCAAGAACAAGAAAGGTTATTATAGCTTAAACCCACCAAGCTTCAAGACAAGCACAACAACAAAAAAATGGCTTTTCTGAGAAGTTTATTGGGGGATAAGCAAATAATGCGAAGGTCATCATCATCGCCGTCGACACCAAGAGGATTCATGGCGGTTTATGTTGGGGAGAACGATCAAAAGAGGAAGAGATATGTGGTGCCTGTATCATACTTAAACCAGCCTTTGTTTCAAGAACTGTTGAGTAAATCAGAGGAGGAGTTTGGTTTTGATCATCCTATGGGGGGCTTAACCATACCATGCCATGAATCTTTGTTCTTCACAGTCACATCTCAGATTGGATGAATTACACAAAGAGCATTCCTTGGTCTTAGACAAAGTTACATTAATTATGTAGAGATATTTTAGATGATCAGTTCCCCTGGAAATATATTGTACAACTGTTTCCGTGAGAGGAATATACATACATAGAGCGTGCTTATGATTCATTGCATGCAGCCATGCATGATAATTAATGCATTTCAATTATATATATAAAAAGTAGTGTTTTTTAGAAAAATTATACATATGTGTCGTATATAATTATTCTGGTTGGTTGTTATTTCCCTTTAGTTTCCAAAGAACAAATATGTATGTACATATGTCATATGTGACTAATCAATTTCATTCCTTCCTTCTGACAACTGTAATAACAATAGTGAGAAAACTTGTATTTTAGTTTTTTTTTTTTTTTATGATCATCATATAAATTATTCAAAACAACATTAATGAGAAAAATACTTTAATGGGCCCAAAAATAAAATCCCAAGCCCAAAGCCTTAACTTAAAACGCCTCGCATGCCACGCGCCCTTTAAGTATAATAGGTTGCGCGTGGGAGAGAAGTTGGCACCGTTTCTTTATATTTGCTTACGTCATATTTCCTGTAGCGTCTTTTATTTGTTTGCTTACGTGACGTCTTTGTTGTAACGTCTTTCTTTGTTTCCTTTATTTAATTTATGATCCTTTATTTTTGTCCTTTTTGCTAATTAGTAACCCGACGTAACTAAAACATCCCAGTTAGTCCGGTTCAGCTAGCTACCATTTCTTTGATACGTCCCTCCGGTTTATTATTGAATATGCATGTATATATTTATAATGTTATTTTTCGAACTATAGAGCCAATTATGTTATCTTTTCATTGCATTTTTATACGTTTGCCCTTGTCCAACTAATATGTATGTATTAACATTTTGTCGCTCCACCGAAACATGAAAAAGATTCAAAGTTTCCAAGTGAAGAGGAGGGGAAGGGGAGGGAGGGAGGGGGGGGGGGGGGGCAATGTAAGAAGAACCAATTAAGCATCAATAAAAATGGAGTCACATGCCAAATTAAGTAGGAATACGACCTCAAAACCCTACCTCCAAATCCACATTTAGCATTATACAAAATTATTATTGACGTCTAAAAGAAAGCTTAGTCCTATCTTGTGCCGTCTCGATCATTTTCTCTAGGTGCCACTCTGTTTTTTTTTCTTTTTCTTTCCCTGATGTTGCCCCTTTTGAAATTCAACTGTTGATCATCGTACAAGAAAAAAACTTAGCCAATCTGATCTAATAATTTCCTGGGTCCAATTTATCCTGCAGCCCATGTGATGAAAAGACCATACATTTCACTTCAGATCTTGCCACCTATATTTTTTTCTTGACTTCGAAACAGAGCTCATGGCCGCTTCTCCTTCACGTGAATGTTTTAGAAATTTAGATTCATCAGTCACTTCCTATACGAAACATATATGGAACTTTCTGAGGTTTTCTTTTTGTTTTATTTTTTAAAAGATTTGATTTGACACAAGTTTCGAGTAAATATGCACTGCAACTATTTCACTTGGAAGAGTTTACGAGCAACAAAGGTGTGTTAGACCAGAGCTACTCTGCTTAATTTTGGGGAAACCGAAACAGAGTTGTACAGACAGGACAGGACAGGACAGGACAGGACAGGACAGGACAAGGGTTCATCGATTCTGGATTCTCGCCGTGAAAGTAGAAAAAAGAGATTCGAGAAATTCCTAAAGTAAGCCAGACAAGTTTCAAGTCTAGTAAAATCTGCATTAAAGAAGTTGCATTTTGCTCTGTAAAAATGGAAAGTTGTACAAAAGAGGACAGTTTGAGGGAAGGAGGAGGAGGCAAGAGTAACATGGGTCTTTCATGTGCTTGGTCGAGACGAGAGACATGTCGTTATCAGTCCGTAAGCTGAAATTGTCCCTTCAAAGATTCGTAATTTCCCTAATCCTCTTCTCGTTTTCACTGAAGTTTTTTTCACAACAAATCTCGTTCGCAGAACATGCTAGCCTCTTTCCCTGACAACGACCCAAAACCCTCTCTTTCTCTCTCTCTGTCGGTTTTTGTGGTCGATAAGAGGAAAAAATAAAACCATGATTCTGATTCACTTGTTGCTTGATGTGATAGATTTAGGAAGTAACTCACAAAGTTTGACTTGAGTTCAAAGTTTACTTTGTAGAATTGCATAGTCTTGGGTTACGTGTGAAAGAAGCAACCCACGCTAATTATCTTGTTTTGGGATTTATGGAACATTCAAGTTATGTACATAATGATATACTTCATCAGTTTCATAAATTTACATGTTTTATACCCTTTACACCATATTTAACATTTTTCCTACAAGACCTAATATACTCTTACTCTTCTTCTACAAGTAAATATTAGTTTAAAAGAAGTTATTTCCACTCAAAATAATGGAAGTACAAAACATCTATAGTGAAAGCAGAGTTTCGTTTTAAAAACATCAACTATTAAGAAAGGGACTAATTATTATTATTTATCTTCAATCTTCATTACGACCGAAACGACGAAATGGATTAGGAAGGGGAGGAACATCACAAATCAACAAAGATGGGAAGCTCGAGATCGTGAGGCTTAACATGTTCTTTGTCCCAAACCTTTTACGACCAGAAACAAAGATCTAATAAATGCCCATTGTCCATAAGCATATATAACAATATTACAACATGGTCAAAAGTATTGTAAACATATACGGTCACTTGCAGACAAGACTTTAGGCGAATCTTACTTAGCGTTTTTTTTGTATGCATTTGTTACAATCTGTGTCTCAAATAGATATTTTCATTTTGTAACCAATTGGTTGTAATTAGATAATTTTGTTTGTTGGTCAAGACCATAAAATTGATTTCTATTGGCTGCATTATTCGTTATTTTTGGGGAGTTCATCACATGACAGTTGTGAATCTCGCAATTTGTCTAACCTTTACGCCCTAATTAAAAAAAAAAAAAAAATCCGGCTACCTGAACGTAGCTATTGCTAAATTTAGATATGGTACGTAGTTGAAAAACCGCGTGATTATTAGTCGTCTATTTTAGGTTAAAAGGATCTTGTTACATAATTAAAGAATCTAATGTACTGTTTGACACTAATAGAACTTGCTTGTAGTCCGGTGATATCGCTCTGTTGGTGTAGACGACGGATGGATCGATCATAATCCACCGTGATGTAAACAATTAACTATACATTTTGTCCACTTACACGGAAGCTGCTAGTCCATGTGATTGGTCCAAAACTACATGCACCTTAAACATTAAAAATTTCGTGCTGGAAGGATTGAATACAACTATGTAGAGTTATTTAAAGTTAAACTAATAGGTGAGTAATTTTATGCGTGCTTAACCACAGAGTATGTTTAAGGAGGAGTACATATAAATTTGTACTTATAGAGTACATATTCAGATACATGTTCGTACGTAATTAAGGAAAATATAGTTACCACACATTTGATATTTTTCTTTTTCTTTCCCTATTTATGAGAATAACTGTTGTGAGAGAGAAGAGAGAAGAGAGAGGAGGGACCATGGTGTCTTGGGGAGGACCAACAACGAAATTAAATCCCAATGGGTTTGGATCCCACACTGTCACATGCCTCTCTACGTCCCTTCTCCTGCTTTTTTCCTGCTCCTTAAAAATTAAAAAAAAATTAAAAAACTACATATATCTATCAAGACCAAAATTATAAGTAATACTACTTCTGTCTTCATAATGCATGTGAACGTTAAAATATAGGAGAATATTTCACTAATTTGTAAAATCATTTAGTTAAATGGCCGTTATCGTCCTTCTAAAAAGAGATATAATTAAAATTTTACTAAATTTTGAGATCAAAGTTTGTTTAAGAAAAAAAAAGGTTTGTAATACTTATAAAGATAAATCGAATAATCATTTGAGGTGTATCATTATTTTAGAAGAGTCGTCCAACACGGCACTAACCAAAATTTTAGATTATTGATTGATCATTTGATCAAACATAAATATGACATAAAATTTCGGATAACCAAGAAAATTAAAATAAAACTGTTGCTTTTAGGATCCTATCCTCATCCTCCGAGTTCCTCCATAAATAACACCTTTCGCCACCACTCTCTCATCAAAAACTTCTCACTTCTCCATCATTTTCTTCTCTTCACTCTCTCTCTCTCACTCTCATAGAAAAAAGAAAAGAAAGAAAGATAGTAGCTAGCTAGTAAAGCTAAAGAATGGCGGTAAAGAGATCTTCGAAACTAACACAAACAGCAATGCTAAAGCAAATCCTCAAGAGATGCTCGAGCTTAGGCAAGAAACAATGCTACGACGAGGAAGGCCTCCCTCTTGACGTACCAAAGGGACATTTCCCGGTTTATGTAGGCGAAAAGCGTACGAGGTACATCGTACCAATCTCTTTCTTGACTCACCCCGAGTTTCTCATCCTTCTTCAACAAGCAGAGGAAGAGTTCGGCTTTCACCACGACATGGGAGGACTCACTATTCCTTGTGAAGAAGTTGTTTTCCTCTCTTTAACATCCATGATCAGATGAGATAGAGATCCACTTTAATCATTCATATTATGATATGATGAAGACTAAAGATTCTTTTGCTTCTTTTTGCCTTTGGATAAATCATATATTATCCAAATGGTTCTTGGTTTGTTTTTTTCCGGACTAAAACCTGCAAGATCCACCCAAAACAGATAATTCCCTACATGGATCATGTAAATCTCGGGTTTTAGTTCGTCAATTAACGCCCTAAATGGGGTTTGTATTCGATGCAATGGCCTTTTTTTCATTTTATGAGCTGATCAGTGGTGGCTCGCACTAATAGATGATTAATTAGTGCAAGTTTGATATTGGCCATTCTTTTTTTTTTTTTTATAGTCCGGGTCTATGATCGTTCGAGTTTTTTTGAAACTAAGAAATGTTTGATCTTTATATGAATCTTTTATTGGGGTTTCCTGATCACGTATGTAATAAGTATGTTTTGCCTTTGTATGCGAGCTGATGTATAAAACTAAAATTTCCATCATAATTTTGTTCATATATTATTAAAGTATGTATCATAATTAACATCTGAACATATCATCCACGACCACGAGAAACAGACAAATAAATCGATCCAACCCGCAACACAATATCATCAATATTCAAATTAATGCTGCTGCAAAAATTCATGTACGTCAACTTGACGAAAACAAAGATTACGGTTAATTTGTTTGAGTTGAGACACAAAACCTTGTATAAAAAGACCAAACATGCATGAATATTTGTTTTGTATATAAATAATTAACATATAGTTTTTTAAATCCGCCTTTGAGTTTTGACTTTTGACTTTAACGTGCATATATAGTAGGCAAACAGATTATGAGCGGATTACTTCTTATAGGTGAAGCAAAAGCATATTTGTCTCTAGTAATTATAAGTTGGTACTATATATACTATTAATATGGATTGGAATTAAACTTAATAATGCATTTAGTTTTTTTTTTGTTAAAAATATATAATTATTATCTATATAGAATAAATATTATAAAATTGAATGCACTTACCCTTCTCTCTTTCTCTTTTCCTACGAGCCACAAATCCTATATGACAGCAACTACTCTTCTTAATGCACATACCTTTTTTTGTTTTTTTTTTGCCTTTTAAGTAGGGATTTACTCTCTTTCTCTTCTCAAGAATATCTTTTGGTTCATACCAATTTTTATTTTATTTTTATGTTTGGAATAAACTGCACCCACAAGTACCAATAATATCTATCCTGCCGCATCACTCATTTTGGTACATATACATACATACATATTGGTAAGTCGAATACATAGAAAAAGAAAAGAAAAGAAGACGATCGAACTTTGTCGAATATGTAATACGTACGTAGTTATATATGTACACACAACAAACAAATCGGTTGAAGGACTAATTAACCCATGACTACTTGAGTATACAAGGAATTATAAAGAAGAAGCACTAATAGTCTAATTCTCAATCACCCATTCTTTATATATATACAGTATATATATACATGAAAATATCGTTGTACTCGAAATGCTTGGGTGATTGAGAATTTAAGGTAAGTTCTTTTAGGGTTGAAAATCAAAGTAGATTTATAATATAACTGTTCTTTAAATTTAATAAAATCGTCATATATATATATATATATATATATATATATTTAACCCGAACGATAAAGGAAAAAAAATAGAGAGGCCAATTTCACGAAGTGATGGCACATCCAAACCATGAATGAAGGGACGAGGAGAAGAAACAGCCAAAGAGGGTTGGATCTCAACTGGATGAGTAAACTACAAAAAGAAGAATCTTTTTTAATATTGTCCCTTTCCGTACGAAATTAAAACTATTTGTCTAGGAAAATTCTTCGAAGCTGCATTTGTCATTTGTCAATTTCCACACAACAGAATAGTTTCATTTTTTTTTTTTGGGTGGTTTTTAATGATTTTCAATCTTTAATCCCTAATATTTTTGTTACTGGCTGGAACTTGTGGGAGCTCCACAAATTTGGATAATACCAATGCTGAAAAATAAAAATAACACATATTAAACCAGTTGAAACATTGATATTTTAACATTCATACTTACTCATCTTTTTAACTTGTACAACGGTGTAAGTGCTCTTTTTTCAACTGGTCTGAGGAAAAGGTTCTGGTCTGACTTTTTTCATGACATTCTCCTTTAACACTACGGTTCTGTTATCAAGAAGTTTCAGTCATTCTTGCAGCCAACAAGTTAGGATCACAGACAGTGTGGAGCACAATGGTAAAGTTGTCAACTACAAGCAACTGAAAACCAAATATATATATATAAAAACATTGGACGATGATTGATTTACGAACATAATTAAACAGACTAGGTCATTCATTGTACAAAAGTCTCAAAGCAAACCAGTTAGAACATAACTACAACAGGTTGAAGACAAACGGGATGGGAAACTGAATGAAGCGAGGAGCACGGATAACTAATCTTACAGAAACATGAGATTCTCAATTTGAGCAGAGGAGACAGAGTCTGCAAGAAAACGTACACACTGCTCTGTTTTTTTCCCTTGTATTTCAAAAGTTCTCATACTATCTTTCTTCATATCATAGTAGACAACACTTGGTAGGGATGAATGCATATACGTCGGTGTAAATATAATCTCACCGTTGTCAGCGTCGGTGGTGCTAAAATTCTGAAACCTATGAAAATGAGGGTCTGTTGTGGAGGCAACTAAATTAGGCAAAACAAAAGTCTTCTTGGACCATTCCTTATTAGAAGCATTTTCTAGAACCCACAAACCAATGATTCCACTGATTTTCTTTTCAAAGAAGATAAGAGCCAGCTTTCCCTCGTAGTTGGTCAACTTTGAAAAGCCACGAAAGGTGCAAGGTTCTTCGATAAGATGAAGTTTTTCAGACCTAACATCGAAACTCATGACTGCAGACTCATTTAGGTTTGTGCCAATAAAAGCTAGATAATACAAAATACCATTGATGCAAAGTTGCTCACTTACAGGAGAGTGAGGAGGAATAATGCCTTGAATCATCCTCCATGCATAACTCCCAGTACTTGCCAATGTCAAAACCAGTATCTCCTCAGCTAAACAGCGTCTGTTTCTCAGCACAGGCGTTCCTCCCAAGATACACAGAGCAATCTGATCAGGATTTTAACTGGAAATCGTTTGAGTATCTCCATCATCAAATCAACCGGAAGTGACTCTGAATTTACAAGCTTCTTCCTCTGTGTTTCCATGGCAGAGAAACGTAAGCGACAACGATTATCTCTCTTTAGCGGCCACTTTGCCAATGCAATTGTTTGGTGAAAACCCTAAATAATTAATGAGTAACGTTTTATATTTCCTAAAGTTTTTTACTTTGTTGTGACGACAAAAACGCCAATCAGTCATGTTGTTAATAATAATCATTCCATCACTAAGTTATTAATTAAAAAATCTTCTTTGAAATAAAAACTTATCGAGTTTAATTTTAAAATTATCTTCATAAACACTTTTGTTATATTAATTGTTATATTAAAAAACTTTTACGTTTTCGGAAAAAAAAATAAACAAACAAACTTGTACGTAATAAATTTTGATTTATCTTATTGTTATCAAATTTTCAAAATAAAATAAAATAATATATAGCACATTTTCTAATTATACATTCAATAATATCAACCGTTTATGTTTCTGACTCGCTTTCACCAAACGATTCCGATTCCTTAACCTTTTTATAGTCTAATTCGATAGAAGATTGTAAACATCCAAATTCTTAACGTAATCCATTAATTATACTAATCACAAACTTTATATAATGTTTCCTTTATATATTCATTCACTCGAAGCCTCCTAAAACCTCTCGATTTAAAACTAAGTTATTTCTCGGTGTCCGTTCATGGCCTTCTCCGTAGAAATCTCGTCTCTCTCCCCTTACCCTTTGCCCGCAAACCCTAGAAGACTTTCTCAACTTGCTATTTCCCCTTCCTTCTTCAAACCCTACGTTTTCAAAACTCTTGGTCGTATCTCTGTTTCATGCAGACGCCCCCTTTACCCCGTTTTCTCGGCGAGAACACAGGCAACTACTGACCTAGACGACGATGACAAGCCTCACGAAGAATGTGGGGTTGTCGGGATCTATGGAGACCCTGAAGCTTCCCGTCTCTCTTACTTGGCTCTTCACGCGTTGCAACACCGTGGCCAAGAAGGAGCAGGAATCGTAGCGGCTAATCAAAACGGTCTCGACTCAATCACAGGGGTTGGATTAGTCTCAGACGTGTTCAACGAGTCTAAACTAAACAATCTTCCTGGCGACATAGCGATAGGGCATGTCCGGTATTCAACTTCTGGAGTCTCTATGCTCAAGAATGTTCAGCCTTTCATCGCTACCTGCAAACTAGGATCATTCGCAGTAGCGCACAATGGTAATTTCTTGAATTACAAGCAACTGAAGACAAAGCTCGAAGAAGACGGTTCGATCTTCATCACAAGTTCTGATACCGAGCTTGTTCTTCACCTGATCGCCAAATCTAAGGCCAAGACGTTTCTTTCGAGGCTCATCGATGCTTGTGAGAAGCTTAGAGGTGCTTACTCGATGGTTTTCGTCTTTGAAAACAAGCTTATAGCTGTTCGTGATCCGTTTGGGTTTAGACCACTTGTGATGGGCAGAAGAAGAAACGGAGCAGTTGTTTTTGCCTCTGAGACTTGCGCTTTGGACCTGATTGATGCGACTTATGAGCGTGAAGTGTATCCCGGTGAGATTGTGGTCGTGGATGGAACTCATGGAGACAGTTCTATGTTCATGATCTCTCACCCTGAAACCAAACAGTGCGTTTTTGAGCATGGTTACTTCTCACAGCCCAACTCAATTGTCTTTGGCCGTTCTGTGTACGAAACCCGCCGCAAGTACGGTGAGATCTTAGCAACAGTGGCACCTGTCGATTGTGATGTGGTCATTGCAGTGCCAGACTCGGGAACAGTGGCCGCTCTTGGATATGCAGACAAAGCTGGCGTGCCATTCCAGATTGGTCTTTTGCGGTCACACTATGCTAAACGCACGTTTATAGAGCCGACTCAGAAAATCCGTGATTTTGCAGTGAAGGTGAAGCTATCTCCTGTCCGAGCAATCATTGAAGGGAAGCGGGTGGTAGTAGTGGACGACTCTATTGTCCGCGGTACCACAAGCATGAAGATAGTTCGGTTGCTTAGAGACGCTGGGGCGAAGGAGGTTCATATGAGAATAGCATTGCCGCCGATGATTGCATCGTGTTACTACGGAGTGGACACTCCGAGGAGCCAAGAGTTGATCTCTAGTAAGCTGAGTGTCGAGGAGATCAAGAAGCATATTAATTGTGATTCTCTGGCCTTTCTACCATTAGATTGTTTAAAAGAGGTCTATGGACCGGTCGGGTCAAAAAGGTATTGCTATGCCTGCTTTACAGGTGATTATCCCGTGACCACAACAGAGACCGAGGAGGAGGAAGCCGACGTTCTCTGAATCAACAATCAGCATCCTCTCCCTCTCTGCTTTACCTTTAAACTTTGAGAAGTTTTAAATTACATGTTGCATTGCTCTCTAATAATTTTATGTTCTAAGAAATAATCGGATTGGCTTTATATTTAATCTGTAAAAACCTCAAAAATATATTTATTTAGAAGTTAGAACTATCAAAAATAAAGCGGGGCCTCCTCACACAGTTTCAGACATGTTTTTAATGAAAGATGTGGTTGAATCAGCCATTTTCAGCCCGGTCATAAGCATTGGATTTGTGCTTGGGGGCAAATGTGAACCCTTCCGGAACCTTTCCAAGCAGCAATTCAGATATCCGCACCTGCATGTAGTAACATAATATTAAGCTTAAGCTCAGATAGTCCAAACTTCGAAGTAAGAAGATAAAATGAAGAATTTTTTTTAACGCACCCAGTCACCAGCAGATTCAGACATCATGAGTGTCTCAAGATCATCACGACCAAAGTAAGAAGGCGGGCGCCAGTTGATTTGCTGCGGGATTACATCAAGCAAACCGACAGGTATGTACCTAAACGTGTAGCTTAGCCACTCCAGCAAAAAATGCCTAGTTGTTTCAACTCCTGTTTGAAAAAATTATCATAACGGCAGAGCATTAGTCACAAGGGAAAGAACAAACTAACATAACATAGTTTCAATTCCATGCCGTGTATTTTATACCTTTTGTGTCGGATCCCCAATGTTGAAGACCAAAACGTACAAAGTCCTTCAAGATGTTTAGCCTTTCTCCGGAGGTAATGTCCCAGTGACGTTGCTCTTTGATTTCAGTAAATATCCAAGGCTGCACAAGTCAAAATCCCATTGAGACTATCCAATGATTTACTAGGAATAACCTAATATTATTTGGTCATACACACACCTTGATCAATGCTCCACGAGCAATCATGCAGCTAGACAACTCAGGACAGTCAGACTTGTGTTTGTTCCAGTCTAAATAAGAGTACACATCTCCATTTCCTATAACTTGTAGGTTAGTTGAAGCGTTTTTGGTACACTGATATATATAGTCCCAATCTGCAGACTTGCTATAACGTTGCTGCCTTGATCGCCCATGAATAGTCACTGCAGTGGCTCCCCAATTTCCGATATCTGCAATTAATGAATCTATCCGATTCTTACCCTCAAAGAATGCCGTACGTACCTGGCACCAAAATGGTTATAATATCAACACATACACATTCACCAATGTTACAGTTTCATATGGAAGGCGATTTCATTTCAGATTTGCTTAGGCAGTTACCTTGATAGTGATAGGTGTTTCAACAATGGAAGAAGAAACTTCCACTATGTTTTTCATTCGTAATGGTTTGTTGAGAAGAGCTGAACCAGCACTTTTGTTGACAACCATATCTATCGGGCAACCCATATTGATGTCAATGAAATCAACAGTGCATTCTCGATCTATAAGCTCAACTGTGCGCGACACTGTATCAGGAAAAGAACCGCAAATCTGAACACCAAACAGATCTTCTGATGAATGCCGTCTAAGTAGAGCCCACTCCGAAGCTTGACCCTACAACAAGTCATTTTGCAATGTTTTCACATTATTACAAAAGAAAAGGATTAATCATTCTGTCAGCATAGCTGAGAGTGCAATTAGTGGCCTAACCTGCAAAAGATTTGTGCACATAGCCATCTCACCACAAGTCACATCTGCTCCCAACACTTTGCAAAGTCTTCGGAAGGGAAGATTGCCCACAGTTGTCAGGGGTGCAAGGTATAACTTATCCCTAAAATCAATAAGCTTTTTCTTTTCACGAGGGTGCAACTTTAGACTACCATCAGTTTCAACAATTTTGATGCTATCCTCATCTTTTACGTCACCTTTTGAAGTAGAATACCCATTCTTTTGGGTTTCCTCTTCCACTTGCACGCCTGTATCAATAAAATTAACTGAGACATTAGGATATTTTCTTGTCCCACAACCTTCTTATGTCAACCTTTCCTCTTTAATACATACTGTAGCTAAGAGATAGCTACATAATTATAAGTATTGAAACTATGCAACTATCTGAGACAATCTAGCAAAAGTTAATTGACATTTTGGTGTAGAGAAGTAAGCCTAACCATCATTAACTCCACCAACATCTCCAGGATTGAGTTTATCTACGTTCTCAGATTTTGCCTTTTTCATGGGACGAACTTCCTCAGTTTCTAATGGTCGAGGAATATCAACATCTTTTATCATTTCTGATGTAGGCTCAGAGCTGACAGCTGAGTCAACCGCCACTTCAGTTGCTTGAGTGACATTTGCACCATTTTGAGGTTTTTCTGCGTTATTTTCTTCAGCAGCATTGCTTTTTTTGGCATGTCCCTAAAAATTGTATGAAATAAAGAGAATAACCACTCAGGTCTCATGGTAAGAGATATAGGAGTGAAACTGCAGTATATGACATGCCATAGACACTGTACAAACACAAAAAATCATGAAAATAAACGAAATAATATGCTGTACAACATACCAACAGACCAAGGGACTTGAGCTTCGCATCTGCGTTGATAAAAGTCATCTTATTCTTCCACAGAAGCCTCTGGGTCTCTTTGTTAAAAAAGTTGAGCTCCTCCTTCCCATCTGAATTACCAGCAATTTCTCTGTGAGTGCCTAAGAATCTACATGATAAACCATATGCACACTTCATCTCAGAGGCCACAAATGGGCACTGCCCCTCTATATCATCTGGTTTCTGCAGTATCAACAAAAAAAATTGTCAGTTAATTTCTTTCTTAATATCATCCAAGTTCAATCACACAAAATCATGGTACCAAATCAACATCGATAAACGGCAAAAGTGAGTACCTGAGCCTTGAAAGCGTCAATATCATGATTAAACCGACAATTATCTTTATACTGACAGGAATTAACGTCTTCTGTTCTCGCAACCTGGGGACAGAGATTGATGGTAGATTGCTGCAAGAAAGAGCATGCCAGGTTCGGTTACAATAATATTAAAATTCACCGCAATAATACAACGGCACAGCATAGATTATCCCTTTCGGATTAAGGCCATTCTCTAAACTATCCAGTTTCACTTGCTAAAACCAATTCTAAACCATAGCTAGATTCGCAGCTATACTAGCACCGATGTACAAAGCATAACCACTAGTATACTTTGAAAGCTTTCAGCGTAATGGTAATGTAATGCTCGTCATCTCTACTTGTGAAATTGGGGTGAATTGAAATACCTCACGGCGTTCCCGTTTGAGCTGTCGTTTCGATTTCTTCTCCTGGACCAAGCCAGACTGAGGCGCCTTCAATTCGGCGTCATTTTGCTTCCCGGAACGGCTTGGGGGAGGACATAGGAACTCCTTCTTAATAGGAGCCATTGATCGTTCTATAAGCTCTTTCGAAGTCGCTTCATACACAGAGAACTGTTTCGTCGATTGGACAGGCTTTGCATCTTCTCCAACACTAGTATCCGCCGCGAGCTCCGCTACTGAATCGGACATAGCGGACAAGCTCCGTCGACGCCGGAAATATTCTAAAGGTACACGCCAAACTGAAGTGTGTGAGATAACTGATAGAGTTGTTGTTAGGGTTTTAGACTTTTAGATATTATTTTTGCAGAGACGAAAGGCAACCCACGATTTTAATGGGCCATGAACGAGGCCCATCTTGTCAACTAAAAAAAAGGGGCAGGTAGAGAGGAAAAACGAACAACAAAGAGACAAAGAATCCAAACTTAAATAAAAACAAAACAAACAGAGAAATCTCCTTGTCTGAAGTTCAATCTCTTGTACCTCCATTACAGGTATAGCATATATGTCCAGATTCATTACCTATCTACCCATAAATTGAATTTTTCTTCCTAAGATATAAAATTAAATTTCTTGGACTTACGCCTTATATGATATATATGTAAATTCAACTGAGTCTGCACATTAGAAAAAAAAAACTATAATGTATTGTTTGATATGTAACTTTTAAAACTAAAACTCCAACCCTTTGATCCAGCCACCACCGCAACAGCTTCTCTGCTCTAATCATTTGATTCAGGTTTTGTTGCCAATGCCATGGTTCCATTCTGGTTCTGCTGAGACTGTTGTCTTGACTGACTGATATTGAGTTGCTGGAACATCTCAGCGTTGAGTGATTGCATCTTTGATCTGTCAGTTTCGTTGTGGCTGGTCTCACCGATTGCCAGTTTCAGTCGCTGGACTTCCCCACTCAGTGCTTCGTTCAGAGCTGTCATAAAAAGCGGGGAAAAAACCACTCATTATACATTTCATCAAGCGCAAAAAGATTACATCTTTGACAGATATTTTTAAGCATCTAGTAGTAGTTGTTCCCATTAAGGTTCAAATACATAGAGTAAAGATGTCTTCAATATGGGTACCGATACAGTTACATATGAGTGAGATCAGAGGCAAAAGTCATGTCAATAATATCGTAAATCATTGAACAAACTTTCATATAATTTCAAGAGAAATGTGTACCATCGCGAAGACGCGCTTGTTGCTCCATTGCTTGAAGACGGAATTTCAGCTCATTGTTCTGATTTGTCTGCCCAATCATATCTCTCTGTATAATGATGCAGTATAACTAATATCGTTAAAAACAAAAGGACTAGACCGATCAAGGCGCTGTTACAATATTGTAGACCACGCACCTGTAAAAGCGTGAGCTGAGCAGACAATGTAGTGGCCTCGGTCTGGAGAGTCTGCACTTTGTGTTCCAATTCGACTATATACCGCATCTTCCTCTCCTTTGACCGTGCTGCTGATTGACGGTTTGCCAAGATTCTGAAAATAGGATCATTGCATAAACATGGGAAAGCCGATTAAAAAAAAACTGTTAACATTAATAAAATTATTCAAAATACCTTTTGACACGCTTAGGGTCAGACATGGCCATCTCTGCTAGTTTATCATTAGCCATGATCTTCTTCATTTCGGCTGCAGTAAATTCACCGTTTTTAAACTCAATGCTAAAAGCAGCACCCGAATTCCCATCAACTGAATTGGTCGGGGAAACTTTCCGTGACATAGTCCCGGGAGAAGGAGGCGGTTTAAGCGATTCGTCACCAAAAGACAACTTCTCCATGAAACAGCTGTCCACTGAAACACTCCTGTAATGTCTGCTGGTGGGAGCAATATCACCTCCGGCCGCTCTTCTCTTGACGCTCTCTCTCTTTTCGCCGGAAGAAATCAAAGTATTGTTATTATTGGCAGTCTCATTTACACTACTGCTCTCCCCTTCCGTATCACTACCATTGGTCTTGGTCCCGCTAGCTCTGCTGCTGTCCATATCATCACGATTCTCATTACCGTTCCTGCTATCGTCAGCTTCGGAGGAGTTCAAAACGTCAATGTTTTCAAGATTCATATATGCAGAGAAGAGATCATCCATGGCTTCTCTCTCCCCGACACCTTCCCTTTCGCAGGTGGATTCCTTCTTGACAAAAGGAGAGGACTTTGACCAGTCAGCAGATTCCCCACCAGAGACAGACCTGTCCAATGGTCTGAAAGGGAGCGAATTGTGGAGAATGATGGAACTAAAGCCAGTGGGAATATCACTGTTGGAGCGTCGATGAGACTTTCTGGGAGGAAGGCTGTCGGGGAGCCTCAAGGAGCTAGAAGAGGTGGAGTTGCACCTGGTGAAGGGCGATGGAGGCAACGAGGCGTTGCTGGTAAAGGCGCCGGAGTCAGGATCGTCCATGGAGACGTCGTGATCTGGTTGCGGGGAGAGAGAATCGCGGAAGGGAGAAGGGCTTAACGGAGGAAGAGAGTCGAAGGAGAAGAAAGAGTTGGGCTGAGACATTGAGCGTGAATGACCTCCTCCCGGGTTATAATTGGGTTGGCGGGAGGTCGGGATCTGAGAATAAGGAGAAGTCGGTGGGATTAAATTGGGGTGAGAGGGAGGCACACCGATTCGTTTCCCAGTGTCACTGAAAGGCTTGGAGAATTGGGGGAATTGGGGAGTAGAGCGCATCAAATTAGGGTTTAAATCGAGCTGCTGAATGGGATTCTTGGGAAAGGAAGAAGAAGAAGAAGAAGAAGAAGAAGAAGAGGTACCGAAAGACGGGGGAAGTCTCTGGATCATATCAGTGTTACACTTGTCCGTATCACCCATTTGCAATCCGGCCGGAGTAGATCGATACTGGAAGGTTAATGCAGCCCACTCCGATAACCCTAAAAGATCAACCTTCTTTTGTGTAATAGGGACCTATCATCATCATCATCACCATTGATGAACCAAAAAAGAAAGAAGAAGTTGATCCCATGAAAGAAGAAAGGAAGGAATTACAGACAAAAATCAGAGCTGAAGAGCAAGAATGCAAGTGGTGGTTACCTCTACTTCAACGCACTTGAATTAATCAATGGCGCAAATGGCGAAAACGTATCTATTTAGCCCCCCCCCCCCCCCCAAATTAAAATGGATTTGTCTCTTTTTCTTCTCTATATTTCTCTCTCTTCCAACGTTGAAATAATAAAACCTATCTAATCTAGTAATAATATATAATCTTCTCCTCTCTCTCTCTCCTCTCTCTAGAAATCGGAGAGAATCACCATTTTCTCTTTCCTTTTTTTTTTCTTTTCCTCCGCGATTTTCTCTCCCCTTATATTATATTTTTCTCTCTAGAAAATAGTAAAAACTCGAAAGAGACAACGACTTTTTTTTTTTTTGGGCACGAGCAGAGCAAAGGAGAGAGAGAGAGTCTAACAAAGAAAAACAGTAGACACGGATTTCATGAGACTGAAGAAAGAGAGAGAGAGAGAAAAAAAGGCAAGAAGAAGACGCGTGAATTTTTACCACAAGAATCCCCAATATTTTCTGTTTAATGCAATTTTATCCCCAAAAAATATTATTTATACAGTATTTATCTTCTTTGTCGCCGTTTATTTCAAATCTCTTTTTCAAGTAAAACATCTCTGCATTATGGGTACCGTATATATGAATTTTACATATTATATATGATTCGATATGGGAAGAAGTACCTAAACATTCTTCAAATTTGTATATAATTTGTACATTATTCCTCGATCCGTATGAATGCATGCATATAACCGACTTTTTCGGATCTATATCTTAATATTTGTTTAGTTTCACAAAAATAAAAAAAATGAATGGATATTTTGTAGAAATGTAATTCAGGCAATCAATAAAAGTTACAATCATCTAAGAAGGAATTATATATATCTTTTGATGAATGGATTGAGATTTAATTGTAATTGTAATTCCGACCACATTTGACATTTGTTTGCTAGACGAAAGATTCTGTCTTGGTTATGTCTACATGTACAAATGTAAAAGCCGTTTTTTGTATTTTCTTCTTCTTTTTTATGCCTCTTCCCTTACATTTTTATTAATATATCTGTTAAAAATATTATGTAATGGACCGCCATATTGAAATGATTTGTTCCGGATTTTTTCTGTCTATTAATATTCAAATTCCCCCCAAAGAAAATGCAGATTATTACTATATTTCTGGAGATCTTCTTCTGTGTGATCTCGTGCTGCAATGTTTACTTGTTTGTATAAGGACGACGACGACAGATACGCTTTTTTTTTTCTTTTTTTTCCGGGTGATTTAATCACACTTTTATTCGTAATCATATTTGTATTAACTACATTTATTCTCGATTTCTTTATCATATCGAAAGAACCTTTTTATCCAAACCATAAAGTTTCCCAATGGTTAGATGTGTAGTTGAAGATTAAATGCTCTTTTTATTATATACTGTATTTTGTTTTGGTTTCTATGTAGCACAAAATAAATATTCTCGTTTGCTTTAAAAACTTCACTTCTATTTCAACATATATATAGCAAGCAAATTCACCAAATAAAAGTATTACACCGCTATATGGTATAAATTATCGTATTAATAAGATTTAATTGGTTAGATAAACAAAACAAAAAATTGTAAACAGATTCTAAGATCTAAAGTTTCAGCTATCATCAAATAGATATAATGATAATTCATTTTGCCTTTAATTACATGAGTCCCACCATCACAACAAAAACATTGACTCTTATAACCACCTCCCTCCATGTTTCTCATAAATATCTTACATAACATTATTTGATTCTCTTCTAATATTATACTTATATATTTTATTCAGCATTCAGCAATGTATATATATATATATATATATATATATATATTAGTTATAATTTAAAACATAAAACTATATATCGTGGATATATACGACTCAATAATCTTACCGTCAAGTCAACTAATATAACCGAATAGTTTTGAGTCAAATTAAGAACTCTATGTATAGTATTTTCTTGGAGTTATGGATTATATATTACACTAGTATATTAGTATCATTTATTTATGGGGACTAATGTTCGAATTTAAGTCAGGGTCCGATTTTTGTCAAAATTTTAATTAGAGTTAAGTCAGCTGAACTACCCTTCTTCCGATGAGCTAATAAACAAATCATTACAAAATTAATAACAATGATGTATCTAAAAGTTCTTACGCGCACACACATAAATATTATTTATAAGTAATACAAAAATACAAAATAAATGATACAACATGCTTATTTTTTTGTAGTGATATAGAATATAGGAGAGCATATTAAATTAGTAGTATTAACGTAACCCAGCAGGGATGAAAATTTGACGTCGAGTAAATCGTGAGTTGATTTTCTCAAAGATAGTTTATACTAAGTAGTAGCAATATAGATATTGAGATGAAAAATAACGAAGATAAGCAATGAGTTACATACTACTACTACTTCTTGTAATTAAAGAATGTCAAGTGTGTGTGTTTTACGGCATAAACATGCGTTTTAATGTCCGAAAAGAAGTCATAATTGTACAGTAGTAGTATAAATCTACGTGTGAATTGGATAAGTAGTGAAAGTCGTAATTAAGGTGTAAATCACGTGGATTAAGTCCTAGTCATATCATCATCAAATAATAATAATATACAAATGGTCGTACGTGTTTGTTACACAATTAATCAACAGAAACCGAAGAATGTAGGGCTTTATATTAACAAAAACAAGGTTGCACGTTTTAGAAATCAAAGCACGATTCTACAAAGTTAATTATTTTTCTAAATTTGCTTGGTAGAAATTCATGTATGTTGTAGATTTTTTTGTTTTGTTTTGTTTTCACGTACTGTGTTTATATATTTGTGTTTCATAATTTATAATGCTTGGCAAATGCAAATGATACATCATCCGTAACCATTGGTGGCCGTGGCACATCCAAAGTTTGGAATATTTTTTTATTTTTTTTAAGGTTAGAATATTTTACTTTTTTCCCGCAATAAAACGAATATACTATTCCGTGAAAGCATATTGGTTCGGTTATAAGAAACAAAACAACCTTGAATAAGCACATTCAGTTTCACACCTAATATTACACTTGTGTTTGCTTGAATAAGTACACATTATACACAAGTAAAATGTAACCGAAGTCTCTCTCTATATATATATATATGAATCGGTAGAACAAGAATCTTATATAAATCAAAAAAAAAAAAAAAAAAAAAAAAAAAAAAAAAAAAGAATCTTATATAAATCTGTAGCTAGGTGTACTACTAACTAATCTAATACTCAAAAGGAAAAACCAAAAACAAAACAAAA